CCGCCCCCCGCCCCCACGGCCGCTGCCGGACGCCGCGGAACTTGCTCCGGCGGCGGCCCGCGGCGGAGGACGGCGGCAGTTTTTTGGGTCTCTTGTGGAGTTGTTCTGAAGAACAAGTGGAAGCAGAAGCAGAGGAATAAGAAGAGGAAGAAGAAAAGGAGTTATACGAGAGAGGGATTCGCATGTTGATTTGGGTGATTTGTCTCTTGACTTTTCTTGTTTCTTTTGGTTGTTCTTGTTCTTCGTCGGAGGAGTCGGAATCGGTGGCGTCGTGGTCTGTGAGGATGATCCGAAGGAGCTTCCCTTGGGTTTTGGGGGTGGCTTTGCATGGTGGGTCGTCGTCAAAATTGGAGCTTGGGGTTGAGAGGTTCATGGGGTGGAGCTTGAGTGTTGAGTGTACGGACATGCCTAAAATGGTTAAAGAGAGAGAGAAAGAGAGTGTGTAGAGTGTTTTTGTGGGGGTCAAGGTTGTTTGATGTTGGAGTGCATGAAGAGAGGTATGAGGAAAAAGTGGAGAATTTATGATATTATAAGGTGGGGGAATTGAGATGTTTGGGAACTTTTGGTGGTGGTGATGCGGAAAGAAACGAAGATGTTTATGGGTAACGACTTTTGCTTTTGGTTTTGGGGTTTAGAGATGAGATATATTCCACGAGAGAGAGAAGAGAATATGGCCAACCTTGGATGCGGCTCGAGTGAAATCTGACTCCACTTTTGGTGGAAGTGAAAGATCTCACACACAGAAGAAGGTTTTGGCGGGAAGGGAAGAGAGGGAGAGAGAGTGAGTGTGGAAGGTTGGAGAAAAACGGAGAAGAAAACAAGATGAAAGGGGAAAGGGTAAAGGGTATATATAGTGCACGGGGATGAATGAATTAGAAAAACATTTATCTGGTGAGAGTGGGGTTTAGGATTAATTGGAGTGAGGTGAGGTAGTGAGTGTGAGTGAGTGAATGAGTGGCTGCGTGTGTGAATGTGTCGTTGTCATGTTCCAGCTGACACTGCTGAGGTGTCCCAAGCCAAGTTCAACTACAATCCCACTCACATATATATTCCTACTCCCACTCTCCCTAAATTCACCATAATTAATTAACCTTTTACCCTTCAAAATTCATCTCCTTTTAAACCCTACCGCACCTAATTTCATTTTGTTCCTTTACAAGGGCGTGCTTCCTAATGGGGCATGCATGACGTAGCCTCATGTGAACTTTATTTATGACTTTGAATGCCAAAACCAAAGCCCTTCTATTCCTAACCCACCTTTACACGTTGGTCAAGCTCCCTCGCACCACGCCAAACGCAATTCACGAGCCCCGAGTATGGAAACCCTTTTTTCCTCTCCGTAGCGTTCAATCTGCGCAATTGCCGTGCCTTTCTAGATTTTACCAACACCGTCAAACAAGAACAAAATATAAATAAAGTGGTGATGGTGTGGCACTGCACTGGTGGTGCCAATAGTATAACAAATTTTACATACATGTATCACACTGGTACAGTATCAGAGTTGTTGATAGATTGTCCAACTCATGATGCAGAGTTTGTCCACCCAGGACACTGCATCGCTGTATGCATTAGTTATCTGCAACAAAAAGTCGGAATATCATTATGCACGGATTTGATTTCAGCAACAACACCAAAATACTGTGGTGGCCGAGAAACTCCTTTTTGTACTGTTTTTATCCCAAAGGGTCATCCTACTTTTTGGCTTCTTGAACCCGCAATTGCAACCATATTAGTACACAAACTTCACCATTTCAAGTGTCACAAATACCATAGTCAGGATATCTTCCAAAGCATCAAACATGGCTTTATGTTCATTTAAACTAAACACATGCTATTGAACACAATCAATTTTTCCTCTACACACTCAAGAGCATTTTCCTTTTTACTCCTTTTAACTTTTAATATTATTTGAAAGTCATAATTAAATAAAATTCAAAAGGGACGGTGGTAATAACATTTTTTTTATACGATGAACTAAAATAGAAACAAAAGAGAAAGGTAGAAGACCATGACACACCCATGTCTGTTTGTTCTAAGGGCAAACAAACGATTCTCAACCGTTAAAGACGCGAGTCTAGGTCGTTCTTCTTCTTCTTATTATTATTATTATGAGTATCTTAATCAGACATGACACTTCTTTCTAGATAAATTGTCGTTTAGAAATGGCGTTTTATCTACGAAGAAAAAACTATTTTTTTGTAGTTATTAGTTGAGTTATTTTTTTATAAGATTATTTAAACATGTTATCTATTGTGAATGATTATTTATTAAGCACATGGAACATAAAATTATTAAATACACCCCATTTACTGTATAAAAAATCCTGTTTTAAATTTCCTATCACGTGTCCATGAACATATAATAGAAGAACCCTTTAATAACCAAAAAATAGAAGAATCCTTGTGACAATAAAACTCTTCACAAGTTCTATTGTATTCAAATGTTTTAACTTATTTAAACTAAACTTTTTCAATAATAGTTTTAACTGTTGCGACAATCAATAAATCATTAATTTAAATGAAACTAAAAATAGTCTCCTTAAACAAAGTCTTAACTTTAAGTGTTCTAAATGCAAAATAAAACAAAATTGAGAGATAAAACTCCACTTACAATAACCAATCATAGTTTTTTGGTAAAATTTAGTTATTTACAAAGTTGATAGACATTTCTTGTTAATAATATAATTATATAGAAAGTTCTCATGACTTTTTCTTTAATGTGTGAAAATATGACTGGTTTATTGACTTGAGAAATTTCATATTGGTGTAGTAAGAAGTTAAATTTCAAATGGTGAGCATCATTCAATGAAGGTATTTCTAGCATACGGCTAATGACTAACTTCTATGTATTTGAGAAAACCAACAACTTTTCCTCGAAGGGACACATTTGATAACAATAGTCAATGAGACTGAGCGTGAAATAAACCTGTTTCCATAAAACAAGTACGTGATTACGACAACATATGGAAGGAGAAAGGGGTATACGCAAATTAAAAAAAGAGGGAATGTTAACATCGTATGCTGGGTCTTAATTTTAAAGGTTTAGTTAGGTTTTGGCTTGAAGAAGAAGCAAAGGCAAAACATGGCTGCAAGATAGTCAAACACGTGTGTTGGGAGAGCCACAACGTTGGCACAAGAGTGACCCCTCTCTTCGCTCATTTTGCTTGTCAACCAAGTGACAAGTCTTTTGCAAACTTTTCCTCCGACCCTTTTGTGTTTGTATTAACCACTGACTTCAATACTAGCAACTTGTTATGACCTCACTGCAAACGTGTCTTACACCTGCTGAAATGCGAGAACCTTTCCAACATTCATTTTTCATGCGTGACATTTTAAAAATCACAAGTCAACCCGACCCTTCAACCGTTTTTGAAGATCTGTCTAGATTAATTGAATGATTTACCAGAAATTATAGGATACTATTACTTAAAGGATTTTTAATAATAAGACGATTTAATAAAGTAAGAAGAAAACTTGTCAAGGGCATCACTATTATATGAACATGAAAGGATAGTTAAATCTTGGCGGAGTAATTCAGGCACGAAAGGGGAAAAAAATGAAAACTCTCATAATTGAACACATCCATAACACGCCTTTCATTTTCCAAGTAAGAAGCACGCAAGAAACATGCCCAATGATTCAACTCTCCCTTCAAATATATTCCTCTTTATTATGATGATAGTAGTTGGACTGTCTCCATCAAAACTACGATATCAATACCTCCCTTATTTGCAACATGCACTTCTAGCATAATATACTACGAACCCAGTAATAATCAAGTAGTATTATTTCTTCCTACATAAAATTCTGATATAGACTAAATGCCACGAGTTTTCACAATTTTTTCCCGGTTGGTATAAATAAGTAGACACTGCTTGATTTGTAATGATTATAGCTTCGCCACTTGTTTAGAACATGATGATCAACAAGCCGAAAAGTTTGCATAACATTACAATATTTTTCCATCACCAGTGTCTTGGCAAAAGAAAATATTCACAAATTGCAACCAGGTTTCTTACCAATGTCGAGTTCGGTTCGGCTAATAATAAAAGAAAGCATTCAAATTCATTCAAAATATCTTTTGTTCTTTTACATAAATTATGATATTGCTGCTTCATTTCATTGATCATCCCATGGCATACTTCTGTGTCCAGCTGCGGGCTGTAGCCTCATACTTGGCCCTGTCAGTCTTGTACATGTGTGCAATTTCAGGCACGAGTGGATCATCAGGGTTGGGATCCGTCAACAATGAGCAAATTGACAAAAGGACCTGAAAATATTCGGAATTATTTTCCAGTCTTTACCAAAAAAAAAAAGTAATATAAAAACAACTCATCAAAATTACGTGAGAACTACTTTACAAGTAGGTTGATCAAAAGTTAAAAGGTTTTAACAGACAAAATCTTGCACAAATCTGAAGTAAGGAGAATCCGTGATGCATATCCTGGATAAGCAAAGTGTAATAACACCCCTGATCATATATGTATATAAGCTCAAATTTCTCAACACTTAATCCCCAAAGGCGCAACAACCATTGTAATTTTAATTTTGCAGTCACAAGCAACTACTCAACACAACATATACTATCCCGATCTTCCACATTATATTAGCTTATACCAGAGAAAACACACATGGTGATTCATAAATTCTATCTAGCTAATGCAAAAGTTATAAAAATCAAGACCGACAAGCAAAGTAAAATCAAACCTTGGAAATGGTTAGGGCTGGGCTCCACTGTTCCTTGAGAATGTCAAGACATATACTGCCATTGCTGTTGATGTTTGGGTGGAACACCTTAGTCCTAAAAGCAACCTGCAGTTTTTGAATTATATTAGTTAATGTTATTACTTCTAAATAGGCTATGTTTGGCTCAGTTTCTTTTCAGCTTACTTTAAGGTTAAAGTTCAAAATAAGATTTTTAAAAATAAAGTAGCTGTTAGACAGATTTTTGCTTCTAATGGCTTAAAAAAGATTATTCAAGAGTACAGGGAGAGAGACAAGAAAGTAACGAGGGAGAAATGAAGGAGGATGGGGGGAGAGGGAATACAAGCACACTAAAACGGCTAATTTTTTCATTTCTTTTATAAAAAAACTTAAAGTACTTATTGAAAAATGTGTTAGACCCAGCTTTTAAAGAGGAGAAAAGAACCATAAAATGTGACTGGACAGCATCTTTGAAAAATGTTGACAACGTTTTCTTCAATTACACCCCAATATTACTTTTCCAAGTATTAAGTAATCGAACTTCCTAGACACCAATACTGATGAACATTAAATACATTTTAGCATGTGATTCATGACTCCTATCAGTTTACATGTGTAAAAATAACATAAATTCCTTTCATGTAGAAAAGAGTCTTATTTCTAATCCTTAGAAAGAATAGAAAAACAGATGACACATATAAGGAAGCTGGAGAGGGCAAGGGTAAAGATATAAGTTGACATGTGGTTTGGAAAAATAAGATAAAAAGAAAAACTTCAAAAAGAAAAATTTGTAATTATGGAACCACAATATTAGTTGTTTACTGGACATTTTCTCCTTAAGGGCCTGTTTGGCTCAAAGGAGGGAAGGGGTTAGAAACTATGTTTGGTTAAGAGGAAGGGAGGAGAAATAGCTCTTTTCTTGTTTGGTTCAAGAGGGGAGAGGAGGGATTTTAAAAACTATTTAACCTTTGAACCCTTATAATTTAAAATTATTTTAGACATCACACTTAAAATGTTATAAATCCCCTCCTCCATTTACCTCTCATTTTATAGGGTTAAAAATTGAACCAAACAGCAAAAGTTCAAAAAAAAAAAAAACCTCCCACCAACTTCCCTCCAACCAAACTATGAAAGACAAATACAATTTTTTAAACTGAAGTACCCCCTGCTTGAAAATTAACATAATTTGTTGCCTATGCATTAGGGAGCAACACCTACCGAGGAAAAGTCAAAAATATGAAAGAATATTGACTGAGATGGTTTGGCCATGCGCGGCAAAGATGAGAAGATTCCCAATAATTAGAAGCCTTGGAAGAACTTGAAAAACCAAAGCAAAAATTTTAAAAATGACTAAGATCTAAATGAACTTTTTGAATATTTAGTTTTTGACAGACAGAACACAATATTTTTTGATCACCCAGAGAGAAAAATAAATACCATCAAATATGATGTGGAATTTAAAACAAGAGCTAAGGTATCCTTTAAAATACAGCACAAATCAAAAGAAAACAAAAATACGTCCATATAAAACCACAAAACAAATACTGCAGAAGGAAAAACATGAAAAGGAACCACCCCACAGTGGCCCCAAATACTCATAGGAAATTCCATCACCTCCATCCCCCAAACCATACAAAAAGGAATGAGGAGGGGCGCTTCAGTGACAAAATCTTTTAGGCACTCCATAATTTACTGTTGTTAGCCACCAAAGGAAACCTGTCCCACCAATCCTAAAGTATGATGTATTTTCATGTCCAGTACAGGTAAGTACATTTTTGTAAGTCACGGAATACCACAACCACCTTTTAAATAAACAAAGAAAGGGGGGTGGAGGTGGGGGGCTTCAACAACAACTAATAGAACCCGTCCGCAGAGGTTGTAATGATCTAGCTTAAACAAACTTCCCATACCATTGAAGGAGGATGGACATCAAGTTCACAGTTGAGTGAATCTTGAAACAAAAAGCACTTGTAAGAATTTTGATCTCTGAAAATACTTTTTAATGTTCAGAGGACTTAACAATACAAGCAGCTAATGTGAATAAAGAATAGGATAGAGTACCTTTGGTGGCTTGAAGGGATAGTCAGGAGGAAAATGAATTGAAACTAGGAAAACACCACCTGCATATGGGCTATCAGCAGGTCCCATGATTGTAGCTTGCCAGTGAAACATGTCCTCAGCCACAGGACCTGATGTAAACAACAAAATCATTCAAAGTTATTTAAAAAAAAAAAAAAAAAAAACCCCAAAGCTAAATTCAAACAACCAACCAAGACTGCTGCAATTTACAACAGACAAAACAAAATAACTTAATTTAAAAAAATATATATAGTTCTACTTAACGAAAACAGTTGGAAGCACACCTAAGATTTAGCTCATCTAACGTGAGGCATTCACATTAAGTGATAATCACTATTATCAATAAAAAGTCAGCGGAGTTAAAATCCCATATATATATAT